AAAATTAAATAGTAGTTGACTATAAAACTACTCAGAAAACAAACCGCCGTCTCTTACAATCACTACACAAAAGAACCATACTACTACAACACTTCGCCTATTAATTAACCCTATACATAAGGACACGGTGGAACACACGGTGGGAGAATGCCCTTCGTGGGCTGAGCACCGCCGTGTCCTCAGGGAAGTGATCGGCGATGGCGACCTCTCGCGTCCGGGCCTAGTGCAGGCCATGATGCGGAGCGAGGGGGATTGGGATGCCGTCTCCTCCTTTTGCGAAGCAGTCATGCTAGCTAAGGAGGAGGCGGGACGCGTGAGGCAGCGAAGCGCTGCCTCCTCGCAACCCAGCCATCGCGAAGGACACACCGGGCGTCGGGGATCGCGGGACGATCTCCGGCCACCGTAAGCGCGGGCCTGCGGACGGCGAGCATGGGTGGCTCCCCGTCCGACCAGAAACAGACCCGAGCGTACGGCGCGTCGCGTTCCGCGCGCGCCTCAAAGAGCCATCAGACCACCACAGATGGGGCCCAATAGGGCCGATGCCGATTCGGAGTCGCGGAGAACCTAACGGGTAACCGGGGCTCCGGCTCGACGTGCAGGAGAAGGAACGGGGTGGTTTTTAGTCAGTAAGAGTCTGACACTCCCTCCCGCCTCACCCAGGCGGGGGCAGTCATTCGATGATTTTCCCCCCTTAAAAAAAAAAAAAAAAAATACATAACCAAAGCTAAACCGTAAACATAATATAGGAATATAGGCTTAATTGCTCGGCGGCTAAGGTCTAATCTCTTGACCCTCAATCGAGTTAACGGTGGAGTGGCAAGCTAATGCAATTCCGTGCATACATTAAGGTAGGCACATATTGATGGAGTGCTGCTACTAAGATAATCAGGTTTTGGTACCCTGATGACTGGAGGTAGTGGCTGATGATTGTAATGTGGATGATTTATTGATGTAACCAGTTTATAGATTATTATTATTTATTACTAGCTTTTGTCCGCGACTTCGTACGCGCAATTCCGTTTTCTCCCGTTCCCGTAGGATTTTTAGGATTTTTTTCTGTCATAAGAACTTTCTCCTGACAATAACGAACACAACAAAAAAAATCAGTCAAATCGGTCTAGCCGTTCTCAAGTTATGACGTGACAACGGAAAACGGGTTTTATTTATATATATATAAGATGTATTATGCAATGACTAGCTGTTACCGGTAACTTCGTCCGCGTTGAATATGATAACATTTTTTTAAAACTAAAATCGCGAGTTACTCATGCGGATATACTGAGAAAATCTCTACTAGTTTCGAACCACAGAGGGGTTTTTCGTCATGAGCAGTGAGCGCGGTCGCGTGAGTAATCCGCGATTTTAGTTTATTTAGTATCACGATAGTTATTATATTTCTTTTTGTTACAATTTCGACAAATAAACGTAGCCTATCTTACTCCTTATCACATCAGCTACCTGCCAATAAAAGTCTTGCAAAATTGGTCCAGCCATTCCAGTGATTACCCAGTATAAACAGACAGTCAGGCAGACAAACAAAAATCGTAAAAATATTATTTTAGCATGTGTATCGTACATATATTCATATGTACCTATGTAGTAAAAAATCGGTTATTTTAATATTACAAACAGACACTACAATTCTAATTGTCTATATAGATATATAGATGTAGGTAAAAAGGTAAACATGGTCCTGTTTTTATTTTTATTTTTATTACGCTAGCTTCTTCCAGCTGCTTTGCTCGCGTTGCCTCGGAATAAAAAGTTCCAAACGTTTCATCCCAATCCCTTCAGCCGTTTTGATGGTTTTTATCCCCGAAAGGGTAGGCAGAGGTGCACATTACAGCACTTAGTGCCACTTTACAATGTAAAACCCACTTTTCATTATTTATAAGTCCCATGTAATAAGGGGTTATTGCCATATACCGAGCACAATTCCAGACTTCGCGCTACTACTGAGAATTAAAAAAAGCCTATAATACTTTGCCCGGTCCGGGAATCAAACCCGAGACCATCTTTCCCGACAGTTACACTTGCGAGTTACGACTATTCAGCCAACGAGGCAGTCTAAGCCCTAAAATCATGACCTATAATCAATTTCACCCAGGAAATAATCCACATTTTCAATCTTTCATAGTCATATAACTTTAAATTGAAAACCTTTTGGAATTCGTCCATTGTACGTCCACTGGGCGACAGATTAAACCACAAGAGTGCCCGACCTCTATTATTTCATTCCCCGTTCTTTCATTCACTATTCCGTTTGAGCTTCCCGTTCATTCAATCATATTTTCAGTAAACAAAGGTATTACAAATGAAATGTTTGAGATTTAACTTGAATTCAGTTTTAGTGTTAGTTTTTTCAATTGTTTATCTGTTTGTATTGTAACTTTCGTGAAACATACTAAATAAATTATTATTTTTTCGGCTTACTCACGTAGTATGTTGAGTAGCAGCAGCAGCAGACAGTTGCCGCGTCGCGGGTCGCGAAATGCTGCTCATAAATATGAGCCTTTAACATGGCTTGAAACTAGTCGAGTTCCTCGTCAAATTATTACGTGAGTAAGCCGACAACATAATAATTTGTTTATCTGTTTTTTCAAAAACAGCTTCGATCAAAAATTCGGGACTACCAGTATAACTAAAAATTATTTGATATTTTTGAATATATTCTGTTATTTACTTATCATTATCATCAACAGCCGAAACTTGTCTACCCTCTTATTACAATGTACGAAACCCTCTTATTATTAATGTTAATTATTTAATAATAAAAACCACACGGTATACTTTACATTCTAACGACATGCCCAACAAAACTACACACAAATAGTTTGACTGTTCCACAGATATTTATTCATCCGACCAAAAATTTAATCTTTCAATAATTCAGTAACATTTTATCAAAGGTTTAACTTTCCACGACACATCACACAAATTACAGGTATTTTATAAAGATATAAAGATATATTTATTTAGTAAAATACGAGTAATTACAATGAAGGTGTTTTTTTGGTTAGTACAGAGTCTACATGTTTTGCCATATATGGCGTACTAAATCAATTACTTTAGGCAGATAATACCAATCTACAATCAATAAATACAAAATCAAATGTCAAAGTTTGAATGAAAAAAAAATTATAATGTAAATGAACAACAATAAAACGTATTTTAAGTTGTTTTGAATGGAGAATTTACTAGGAATGGTCCTAGTATATTATCTCGCTCTTCCATTCAAAACTATGACGTCCTATTCCCATCCCCATTAATTCCTGACACTAAATTATGCAACGACTTCAAAAAACAAACACAGAGACGAATTCTCGCAACACATTTGTTAAAAGTAAAAGTAAATATCGTAAATTTTTCCTCAATCAAAAATAATTTGTATCACCTAATTTAGAGAGCAACAAAGTGTCTGAAATCACTAATTTATTAATGCAGAAAGTGTTAGTTTTACGTAAACATAATAATAGACAAATGAAGAGTTGAATTTATTCCTGCTTGTGATTTTTTTTTCAACATTAATCTACAGATTAGGTTAATAAGTAGTGATTAGACAACTATATTGTATTTATAAGTATAAGTTTACTTTATTTAAGTGAGGTCCTTAAAGAAAGGAAGCATATATATTTATCCCACGACGGTGCAAAAAAAGCACACGGCCCACCTGATGGTATGTGGTTACCGTCCATGTCCCGGCATGTCCTTATCCTCCATAAGTACGCCTTCAACATATAATTTCACATGCATAAAACACACAGACCCGAAACAACAATTTATGGATCACACAAAGAGTTTCTCCATGTGGGAATTGAATCCGCTACACGTTCCACGGCAGTCAGTTGCCCAACCAACGTGTTAACTGTTAACTCATCAAATGTTACTCTCGGTGTGTGTAAAACGCGACCAATTTCACACAACTCGTCGAGTACCGTCATTATAGACACAATTATAGAACAATAGGTTGCGGTCACCGGTGTCCTCGCGGTGTTTGACAGTTTAATACGTCTCTGTCGGTCTCTCCTTTGCTCACACAACATAAATAGATACTGCCGAAATGATTATGTATACTGTAACTACCTTATTAAAATACACTTGTATTTATTCCTACAGGGAATATAACTCTATGATTTTATATCTTCAACGTGTATAAGTTTTTCTGCATGCGCCATGGTAATAGCGCGATTATTTAAATGAGCGGAGATAAAGAAAGCGCACAGATTTATATTACGTCAAGGGAATTGAGCGTACTTACTTTTATTTTGCTATGTTTTAATATTACTGTAGTAGGATAATACTAGGTAGATGTATTTTTATTTAAACTGTCAAACACCAAGCGGTCACCGGTGACCGCAACCTATTGTTCTATAATTGTGTCTACAAAACCGGTACTCGACGAGTTAAAAGTAGATCTTATTTTTCTCAACACAATTTACTAATACGCAACCGAAGACTGTACCAAGCTTACTGCATGGTTAGCTCAGTGACTAGTCAACTGACTGCTGTGTTATTACGGTTTCGATTCCCACGCAAAAACATTGTGTAATCCACAAATTTTATTGTTGTCCTGGGTCCGATGTGTACATGCGAAATTATTTGTTTGTAAACTCATTCTCGAGATAATTCTAGCGTGGAACAAGGTTGAAAAAACATACTGTCCTTTAAGGTTATTTTGTTTTCGAACTCTTTGGCTGGATTTTAGTGTTACATTGTTCTCGTTCAATTCAAACAACAAAACTATGTAACTAGAAAATTGTATTGTGAACCTGACTGAATAAGAGTAACCTATGGAGTGGAGTTACTTGCTCGTTCTTCTCCATATGCATCTACACGCTGGAATGAGAAAATAGCTTCACTTTTAATTTTTTGTTGACGTTCAAGAGTACCTTTCTAATCTAATTGAAATAAATAATTTTGACTTTGACTTTGACACTTTGACTTTGACATACATAAAGAAAATTTAGAACTAACATGATGCGAATGTGTGAGTAACTTACATGTGAATGCAGAATACAGACAGCGCACAATAGGAACACACAACAGAAGAGTGTGACACAGAGAGCTGACACGAACAGCGCGTGTTTCAGTCTCACGCAGTATCTTCTGTAAAGAGCTTCCAACTCCAACTCTGTGCCCTCCTCCTCTGTGGACAAAAGATAAAGATTTTTAGATTGTTTTTATAAGTTTTCATATCCCTGACTTTTCGGACAATATTTTTAAACCAAGATGGACAAAGAATACTTTTTTTTTAGAGCAGGCGGATCACTTATTGGTAAGTAATCGGCGCCGTCTATGAGGTAAATGGGCCTCCGGTAACCTCACTCACACGACGAAACAAAATGCAAGCGTTTTTTCACGTCCGTTTCCTGTGAGGCCGTGGTATCACTCCGGTTGAGCCGACCCATTCGTGCCGAAGCATGGCTCTCCCACACTTACTAATAATCTGATTTGGCGATTCGGATACTCGTCTTAGAATGGGACGAACATAGAAACAAATATCGTAATAATTCTTCAGTATATGTGGGTGGCAATCATTCCTATTATATTCTGACTACATAGTCATGTAGTCAATTTAGGATTTAGGATTTGGACATGCGTCAAGCACTAAAATGTAAAATCTACTTTCTAATGTTATGTGACATACCTATACACTATATTAATGCTAGCTAAGGAGGAGGCGGGACGCGTGAGGCAGCGAAGCGCTGCCTCCTCGCAACCCAGCCATCGCGAAGGACACACCGGGCGTCGGGGATCGCGGGACGATCTCCGGCCACCGTAAGCGCGGGCCTGCGGACGGCGAGCATGGGTGGCTCCCCGTCCGACCAGAAACAGACCCGAGCGTACGGCGCGTCGCGTTCCGCGCGCGCCTCAAAGAGCCATCAGACCACCACAGATGGGGCCCAATAGGGCCGATGCCGATTCGGAGTCGCGGAGAACCTAACGGGTAACCGGGGCTCCGGCTCGACGTGCAGGAGAAGGAACGGGGTGGTTTTTAGTCAGTAAGAGTCTGACACTCCCTCCCGCCTCACCCAGGCGGGGGCAGTCATTCGATGATTTTCCCCCCTTAAAAAAAAAAAAAAAAAAAAAAA